AGAAGGCTTTCCTTTGAAAGGTATAATACCATTCTTTTATGTGTGCTTTTTTGGCTGTGTGATTCTACTTATGGTGCTTTATTCAGCATATTGAATTATTTATTTCCTTCTCCCTACCACCAGACTCTAAGCTCCTTGATATTAGTTCTTATGTTTCATTTAAGCCTTAATTCCTAATATAGGATTTAGAATATGCCACTTAGTTGGTGATGATGTGCTATATTGTTGAATAACATTGCATCATATTTATATATCATGGGCTATGTTGTTATTTTCTATAATTTAACATTTCAATAACACTTCATATATTATGTTCTTAGATTCCTAGAAATGTAAATGATTAACTTTAGAAGGAGTCAAAATCTCTGGTCTGGTGAAGTGGCTACAGTTGCAGGCTCTGGGATCACACTGTATGAGTGTGATTGTATGAGTGAGAGTGTATGAGTGTGATATTCCATCTTTAACACTTTAGGGGTCTATAACCTTAGAAGAAAATGGCTTAACTTAAATCTTTAACTCTTCATCCGGAAAAATGGGAAACTAATTCAAAATATGCTTTTCCATAGTCTTGCAAAAGTTAATGATGTTAATTCTGGCAAACACAAACCCAATGCTTGGCACTGGATATACCTTCTTATTATCTGCTAAATTACGACTATTTAAATTTTACTCATATAATCATTGTTTTTCAGTAAAAACATTTAACAATTTTTCTTTTCACTTTTCCATTGTATTATGTAATTAGAATCATTCCTAATCTTAAATGGTTTATTTACTTACATTTAAGTAGACTTTTAAAGCTACCTTTGAACTTAACTGTTAATTTATTTTTGTGTCTGATAAAATCTCACACACACAAATGTAAAATTTTAAATATGTTGTCATTTTTCCTACCTGTATTATTTGACTAATCAATTTATTTTGTGCAATGTTCTGATATTCCTTGATTGTATCTTAATTGTTCAGTTCTTATGCAGGGGTCCTCAAACTTTTTAAACAGGGAGCCAATTCACTGTCCTTCAGACTGTTGGAGGGCCGGACTGCAGGTCCTGGGACGAGTCAGCAGCTAAGCAGGACAGGCAGCGGTAGCAAAAACAGCTGGCGGGCCAGATAAATGTCCATGGCGGGCCGCATGTGGCCCATTTGTCATAGTTTGAGGACGCCTGTTACATGGTATTTTACAGAGTGTTTATTGTATTTTTTTGTTCTCCTCATTGATTTTTTGTGTATATAACATAATTTCAAAGCTGTGTAATAAATGTCATTGTCATATTGAATTTTATTATTTATAAATTTATTTATAGTTTATATCATATTTATTTTATCATAGTCTCCAGTTTACTCTTACAATGCTATTTTTAGAATTACATTTTTAATTACCAAAGAAATATTACTGGAAGCTTAATTAGAAATCCATTATGCTTGCCTGATAATTGAGAGAAAGAATAATTGCCTATTAATTCTGTTCTAGAAATATTCATTGACATTTTATGACGAGTCATTTCTGTGTAGTGCAGACATGAATTTCTGAATTGGCAATAATTACTAATAAACTAAAAGGGTGTCATCTCTGTGTCTTTCCTGACAATGTGTTTGTTTTCTTTTTAGTGGCTTAACATACATGAAATGTATTTGAGGATAGCTTTATTGACTTGAAATTTATAGTTGTCTCTTATCATTTTTACAATTAATTGTTTTCTATCAATCCAGTTGTTCAGTGCTATATAACAGAGCATAGGGTTAAAAGTGCTAGGTGCTTAGGGACAGAGGTATCTGGGCACAAGCTAAGGATCACTACTGGCCATGAGCACTAAAACTAGTATTCCATAGACACAGCATACTGTCCCAGCCCTACATAATATATTAGCAGTGATAAGATTAGGGAAGAACAGAAGTGCAGTAAACAGGATGTGTTAGAGTTACTTATTTTTTAACTCTTCCTCTCTCTTTGAAGTTTTCAGCTGTACTGCATTTTCTCATGCCTAAGATTTCAATAAAAGCCAGTGAGGATTATTGGAGGGGGCCCCATCCTTGTTTCTCCTTCTTGGTGTTGCCTTCTGGGAGTCCCTCAGTTCAATGCAAACTGACTGCATAGGTGTTATTCATTTTGTGTAGAGTCACACCAAGACAGTGCAGTTGTGGTTTGTCATCATATTCCTAGACTTTTCACTGTTTAATTTTTTTTTCAAAACAAGTTGGGAAGTGTGTCAGAATACTAGTTAGATGCCACTTTATATACACTCTACAAGGAATGGAGAAATGCCAAGGCCAATGGATTTGATTAACATAATTCCTTTAAGAAAACAAAATATAAATGCGAGAAACAGATGTGTGAATTAACAATTACAATATAATTGGAGAATGGTTAGAACCAAAGGAAAGAAATTGAATACTGTATCCTGGAAGGAGGCAAGCAAGGTTGTCCTTCCCTTCCTTGATTAAGCTGTGGGCATCTTGTCAGGACCAGCTATCAAGCAATAAGAACTTACCTAAACCCATCTGTGGACACAGAATATATAAGAATATCTACCCATTAAAAAATATAAGAATATTTGAATTTTCTTCAAAATGGTTCATTATTTTTTCAGAGTGTGTAATGCTGACTGTTGCATTCATTTATTCATTTACCACCATATACAGTTGAACCTCTGTAAGTTTTTTTTTTTTTTTTATTTCAAACTAATATAAGGGTAAAAATATTTAGGTTACATTGTTCCCACTTCCAAGGTAAAGCTTAAGTTGTAGAAGAGCCTCTCACCCAATGGGTGTGCTAAACACTCTCACATTGTACACATTACATGAGATCCCACCAAATGACCTTCCTCCTCCAGCTAAAACCCACCCTGCTCTCCTCTCCCTCTTTATCCTGCCCCCCCGCTAGATTATATTTGTGTTTTGTCCTTTATATAAGCATGCAATTGTTTATATATTGGTTTCATGATAGTGTTCAGTACATTGGATATTTTCTTTTCATTCTTAAGATACTTTACATGAAGAATAGGTTTCAACTCCATACACAAAATGGTTCTTTGAAACAGAAGTAATTTTAATTATTTGTTAGTTTAGAATAGACAGCAAAACATTAAAATCTATTAATTAAATAGTTTTCTCCCAACTCATGGTATAAATTTGTTAAGAATTGACTTATCTAAATGTTATAGTTTATAACATTGTCTATGACAAAATACTTACAAATAAAAGAGGGGCAGGAAATATGTGAATTTTATAGAAAATAAATTTAGGAACATAATCATCTTTATTTAGTTATTTATCTTTTTAAAATATGGAACTATTTATTTTATGCATGCATATAATTTCTTATAATTTTATGTTACATACTAGTTATTTTATGCTAGTTTAAAATTATTTCTAATTTGTTTAATATATCAGAATAAAAAATATCAAATGACTAAACAAGTAAATAATCATTATTTTAGAATAATACAATGTAAATGCTACATCAGTGCTTTAAAGAATATCAGTGCTTTAAAGCCACATACTTACAACCGACCAGTCTTTGAAAAAGTCAACAAGAACATACACTAGTAAAAAGAACTCCATTTTCAAAAAATGATGCTGGTAAAATTGGATTACCATATGCAGAAGAATGAAACTGGACCCTTATCTTTCACCATGTATAAAAGTCTACTCAAGATGAATAAAAGACTTGAATATAAGACATAAAACCATAAAAGCACTAGACAAAAGAATTAGAGAAAGGCTTTCTGCACATAAAAAGCATAGGCAACAAAGACAAAAATAAACAAATGGGACTTAATTCAGAAGAAATAAACAATGGAGTGGGAGAATCAACTGGCAGAATGGGAGAAAATATTTGCAAACTACACATATGACAAGGGACTAATATCCAGAATTTACAAGAAACTCAAACAGCTTAATAATAACAAAGAAAAAACATTTCAAAAATTGGACTAAAGGCAAGAATAGACATTTTTGAAAAAAAAATACTGTTTTTCACCTTTCCTACTTCCTGCTAACAGCTAAATTATTCCGTTGTTCTCATTTTAGTAGATATGACTTAATAGAACCTTGCAGTAATATAGAGGAAAACAAGCTAGTTTTTTAAAAACAATGTTATGAGAGAATTTATTGTCATAATTCAAAACTATGACTATGAACACTATAAAGTAAAAGAATTACTGGTTGTCCCTATTTGATTGTAAAGGAAAGTAGGCAGGGGAAATATTATTAACTAACCCATACTTGACAGTAGACTTCTTTCGCTTAAATGGGAAATCAAGAATTTTCACAAATTGACTGAAGGCCCCCCCAACAAATACAATGTTTCTGAAAGCCACCTAAAGCAAAAGCAGTAATTGGAGTGGAGTACCATCTATAAACCTTTACTGTCTTTCATTTTATTAAGATGCTTCTACATGTACTTATCCTTGTGCTGTAAACAATGTAACTAAAATTCTATATCAGTATGTTAATTAATGATTTTAATAACAATGTCCTATAGTTTTTCCCTACACTCCTGTTAATGTCCATGTCAGTCCTATGCTCACAGATGTCTCCACTCTATGTGCTATACTGATTACCATAATCCCTCAGTATGCATTGAGGATTGCTTCCAGGACCCCTGGGGATACCAAAATCTGAGGATGCTCAAGACCCTTATATAAAATGGCACAGTGTTTGCATTTAACCTATTCATATTTTCCCATATACTTTAATTTGTCTCTAGGTTACTTACAATACCTAATACAATGTAAATGCTATATAAATGGTATGTATACCGTATTATTTAGGGAACAATAATAGGAAAAGTCTGTAAATGCTCAGTACAGATGCAATCATCATTTTTCATGAATATTTTGAATCATCAGATGTAGAACCTATGGATATGGAGGGCCAACTGTATGTAGTATTAAGGATGATTAGGAAAGATAATGATAAATGTCTGATAATGCTTTGCTTGTAATTTATTATTTTCTTTCTTAATCTTGGCTGACTCTGATCCACTTTCTCCCATATGTTCATTTAAGACCCAGTTTTCCCAAAACCTTTTCACGAATTTGTCGTGTCTTCACACAATATACAATGGGGTTCATTAGAGGTGGCACTAGCAAGAAAATGTCAGCAATGAGGATCATGGCCATTGGGGACTTATGCTTGCCAAAACGGTGCATGGATGCCAAAGCAATGATGGGCACATAGAAGATGAGCACAGCACAGATGTGGGAGACACAAGTGTTGAGGGCCTTGAGTCTCTCCTTATGTGACCCAATTCCCATCACAGTTTTCAGGATGAACACATAGGACACAGCAATGAACACACTGTCTGACATCATACAGAGGGCAACAAAAAAACCGTAGAAAAAATTGACTGTGTTGTCAGAGCAGGCCAGCTTCATGACATCCTGATGAAGACAGTAAGAGTGAGAAAGTAGGCTTTTCTTACAATATGTCAATCTCTTAAGAGTGAAAGGAAATGGAAGTACTAAGAGCATGCTTTTAATGAGAAACACCAGCCCCATTTTGGCAACTCTGGCACTGGTCAGGATAGAGCTGTATCTCAGAGGGTTGCGGATGGCCAAAAAGCGGTCAAATGACATGATCAGGAGCACCGAGGACTCCATATCTGTAAATCCATGGATAAAGAACTCTTGAGCAAAGCAGGCATTTGGGGAGATTCCTGTGGCATTGAATACAAAGATCCTCAGCATAGTGGGCAGAGAGGAGAGGGACAGGCCCAGGTCAGAGACAGCCAACATGGAAAGGAAATAATACATGGGTGCATGGAGTCATGGCTCAGTCCTGATCACAAAGAGGATGGTGCAATTGCCCAGGATGGCTACTAGGTACATGAGGCACATGGGGATGGAGACCCACACCTGAATATGCTCCAGCCCTGGGATTCCAATCAGGAAGAAAGTGGCAATTTCAATTTCAGAAGAATTGGGAATGTGCATGTTGAGTCTGGTGGAAAGGATTTATTCTCAGATCTGAAACAATGCTTTCAATGTGGATCTGTTGTGCTCATCTCTTTCCTTTCAGCATGTTTTTCTGAGAAATAAGCAAAAAATGCAATTTTGAAAGACTTCCCATTTTAAGAAATAAAAGAATAAAGTATTTCTTCTAAATTGATTACAATTGAGTCAAATAATGTCAACTGACAAAAAGAACAAGAAATATAGATACTCTCTTGACCAGCTGTACATCTCTGTTAGTCCTTGAGGAAAAAATATACCCATGTAAAGAGTAGTAACCTGAAAATGAATTACCTTATACTATTAGGCTTTGCTCCTCATCAGCCAAATCCAATGAAAAATTATATAGGGTCAGCCTTGACTCTTGTGTTACCCAGAGTGAGTACAGAAATTAAAAATGTAAAAAACAAAGAAACTGTGTGGATGTTAGAAGAATAGAAAATTAGAATTTCTCCAATTTATAGTCATTTGCTGTAAACATTTTTAAGGTCAAGGATTGAGCTTCTAAAAACTGTTCTTACCTACAAGCTCTCCATGGGAAGCACCCCAAACAAAGTACATAAAATAGGCCATATATTCCTCTTTTAGAGCACAGGGAACATCCTACCTTATTGTGAGAAAGTAGATAGAATATCCTTGAATGGGACTAATCTATAGCAGTGCCTCCACCTTGGAGCATAGAAGGAGAGGAAGAATTCCTGCACTTTCTCTATAGTATATCATAGACTCTGCCACAATCATGGAGTGGCTCAATCAGCCATGTTATATAGGCCAGCCATTGTTGGTGGCAAGGTTAAAGGCATAGCATATTGTGGATAAGGTAGATTGGTACTGTCTAGACCCATTTTTTTTTTTTTTTTGTGGTGTAATAAGATAGATATTCTACAATTGACTCAGGCAACTGAGCCAAGTATGCATCTTCGAGAGCTTTTGTTTGCATTACAGAATTAAGTTTATCAGGGATAATAAAGCTCTAATATATATGTATAAAGCATATCAAATTCTACTATTTTGGCCTAAAAAGTGAGTTTCTTTCAGAGACTAGGGGTTTATATGAGGATTCCTAACAATTAAAACCTAAACCACTTGCTTTTCATCTTTTTTATCTTGCAGAAAATGACTCTCATCACTTGTTAAGGACAAAGCCTTTTCTTGGAGAGCTGCCTGCCTTCCAAAAATGACAAAGTAGTGGTTATGTTACAATCTATATCTCAGCCACTCTTATCACCTCTAAAGTCCGCAGGGGTAAGGTGTGCAGAGGTCCATCAGGGCAGTATAATCTACTTTAAGTAGTTCAACTCAGAAGTGGCTGCTCCTTAAAGTCTTCCCCCTGATTAGTCCAAGCAGAGTCCATTTACCTTTACTATTTCTTGCATTGTAACTGTTACAGTTTCCTGTGGTTTGCTGTTTATGTGTATGCCCTCCAGACTAGCTTATGAGATAATTAAGAGCACAATTTGTATCATAATTATCTTTATATTGTCATCACCAAGCACATTTTCTGCCAAACAACACATAGAATCATTATTAATTGAATTTTATTAATCTATATTGATTTGCAATTAAATGAACTGATTTTGGGAATTATTTTCTCCCTTCAATTGAAATTAAAGTTTCTTTCTTTCAGAGCAATTACCATCCATAAGTTCTATATGAGGCTGTTCTCTGATATGAGAGAACATGGGAAGGTAAGGTTCTTGCTTTGACTTGGTCTTTATTATTTCCCTTGAACCCAACAAGCAGAGGGCATTTATATACCCGAAGCTTCACTGACATCAAAACTATACCATATCTGGTTTCTCTGTAGTTTTGAGACAATATGAATCTTATGCTTAATTCTTAATAAGTGACAAGCAATAATATTATCAATAATCATGTGCTTATTATTTTTTCAATGGAACTTGATTCAAAGGCTAAATTTTTTCAAGCTTTAATAAAATATATACAAATTCCAAGTGCCAAGCATAATAGTTCAAAGCTCAAATTCATGAGATTACTCTTAATAAGCACCAAAAGCTAATTCTGTTAACAGAGTCCTACCTTTTGATTTGCACAGTGCATTCACAGATGAGTTATATTTAGGAAAAGAGTGTCCACTGAATGCACTATGTGTAAAAATGCAATTAAGATTTCAAAACCACATGTGAAAGAGAAAATATCTTTAAAGTTATTTCCTTTAAATAAATATGAAACAATATCTTCTTGCAGATAAAAATACATTTCTTGTATATGCATATAGATTTCTACATGAAAGAACAGGATTCAGCTCCAAACAGAAAAGGGCTGACACACGATAAAGACATTTTAGATTGTCAAACTGATGTAATTACCATTGTAAGGTGAACTGAAAACAGAAGGATAAAAAAGTCAAAGGAAGGATAAAGTTTAGCCACCTGCTTCTGAATAGTGGCAGAATGGGGTGAGAAGCAGGAGATGAAGGGAGACATAAGACAAAGAAGAAAGGCAAAGGCCTCAACTCTGATTGGAAATGAGAATCAAGCAAAGTTGACAACAGATATGATATAGT